ATGCATGAAAATCAAACACAATGCACACTTGCACCCCTAGGGTTACAATCCACTTGTTGCTTTCAAAAATTGGCCATGTTATGCATGTTGAGTACTTTGGCGAAACAAAAGATCATAGTCCCTCGATGACGCTATCTTGGTTTCCTAAACAAAAATGATCAAGTCCCTCAAAAATTTGCCAAAAATACTTGACACAATTGCTATCATGGTCTATACGATGACCCGCGCCTGTCCCGTTTAACATCCTAACACAAGGTTGTTCACCAAATGCAATGGTGAAACAACACTGTCAAAAGGGTTAAAAACATTAGGAAATATCTTTGAGTAAAATTGGGTAGATAACTCTTAGTTACTTGATCAAAAGCTTGCAAAACATCCTTGCTATTTTCAAACACACTTCACAACACAATTTCAAAACATTTCCCAAATCAAACTTTCAAACATTGAAACTTTTTCAAAAGACAAAAACACCTTTGTATACATTCAAACAAGAATCATTACAAAGGTTGCCACAACGATGGCCTCTCTTCAAAACTTCTTTCAAAACCACACACAAAGCACCATTTCAAACAATTGAAAAGCAAAAGCAAGTGATCTAAACAAGTAACTAAGAGCCCATGGATAACCATGGATGAAAAGGGTGCTTGCACCTTCCCTTTTCATAATCTACTCCCCGAACCCAAGAAAACATCTCAAAGGTCTTTCCTGTGCTTTTTGACCTTTCCTTAGGATAAAATAAAAAGTCGGTGACGACTCTTGCTAAACCGAAACATTTGCGAACACAAACGCAAAACCTCAAGTCAGTTCTCCCACCGTATCACACACCCTTTCCTTTTCTAGATAAAGGAAAAGTCGGTGGCGACTCTTGCTATCTTCAATACTTGCGATAAAACTCAAAACACCAAGTAAGTTCTCCCACTGTATTATAATATGCCAATAATAATTTCAGATAAATAACAATATAAACTAAAAAGTTTTGAAAATTTCATCGGTAATTAAAAGTTGCAATTGTTGCTTATTTGGTGCCTAATCAAATAAAATCTTGATTATTCTTGTGAATGTGATGATCATCATAATTTTCATTTCCTTAATGTGATTGTCCGAATGAAAAAATAAGGAAAATCTGGAAAAGGCTTAAATACAAAGCATAGTTAAAGAGGTATCTGAAAGGGGAGCTCAGGTTTAAAATGTTCTCAAAAAAATTCTTTGTGTCATGTGAATACCAAACAAACTACCTCTTGACCAATGTGAACGAAATTCTCGCATATGAGTACCGATATACTCTACATTTCATGAGCTCTTTTATTTGTTGCTTGAGGTCAAGCAACTGGCTACGTTTGGGGGGAGTTTGATCAGTGGTTTTGCACCTTTATTTACTAGTAGGTTTAGTTAATCTTCACATTGTTTTTAAGCGCTTTACTTTCTCTTGCCACATTTTATGCTTTAGTTGTGTCTCTTCAATGTTTTTAGGTTCAAATGAAAGATGCAAGAAAAAATCGGTTCGAAAAAGCGGAAAAAATCTGGAATGTCAGAGAAGTTTCTCATCACCTACAGGAGGCCTGCTACGAGTCGTAACAGGATGGAAGCCTCACTCAAGTATTCAAAAGGTCAAATGGTTGTGGTATACTACGGGCACTCGTAGCACATGCTACGAGCCGTAGCACAGGTTTTGGGACTCGATTTCAAAAAGCTCGCATCCAGTGGTGTGCTACGGTCACCCGTAGTAACTTCTACGGGCCGTAGTGCATGGTGACAATTGTAGCGGTAGAAATGTTTAAGACTAAGCCATTAGATTGACTAGACTTATAAATATCAAAATAAAAATCGCCACTGCACATTATTTTTTCCAAAAGAATGGGAAAAGAGTGAATAACCCAAAAGAGGGGGAAAGATTCTAGGATAGGGGGTTGGTTATGCAAAGGGAAGGTATTAGCACCCTAAACATCTACGGTACTCCACGGGAACCTCTTTGTAAAAATCTGTATATTTTGGCTATAAAATGTTGTATAAAAATAGATGGTGGAGGTGAGAAAAGAGGTATTTTTTACAATTTTGCACCTGCCACAGTTGCGAACCTTTAGTGCCTACGTACCACCTTCCGTGCAATAGGGGATCGGGGTACTCGTAGTTCACCTTTAAAAATTTTAAAACACAAGTGTGTTGGTTGATTTTATGACATAAGACATAATCATCATTATCCATGTGGAAAACATACTTACTACCCACAATAATGAGAAAGGAGAATTTGCATCATCTCAAAGTGGAGGATATGACTTGGATTTTAAAATCAATAATGCCTCACTCAACATCCAAGTGGAAAATATCTCACTTCACTACATATTGTAGAAGCATAGTTGTTTGCATCATTACAAGGGTTGATAAGAGTCTAATCTTTTGAGAAAATTTTAAAGTAAAGAGGCAAAGTGGAAAAATAGTTTGAATGAGATTGATTGAATTTTAGTCTTCTCACAAAAATGTCAAGGTATTATTAAGTTTATTAAAGTTTATTTATGAAAATGTTTTGAAAATCCATGAACCTAAGTCCAAGTTTATTACAAAAGTGGTTCAAGTTTATAAACAAAGAAGCTTTTTAAAAAAAGATGAGAAGGTTTTGAAAATTAAAGAATGGGAGAAAATGAAAAGTGTGTCCTATGTACAGGAGGGTAAATGGTAAGGTAAAGAGGATCCTGAACGAATAAGAAATTAGTACTTGTCATGATAAAGTCAATAATGTGTTCCCATCCCTTTGGGTTTAAAGCCACAAACAGAAAAATAAACTAAGAGTATACCAAACCTGAGGTGAAAATAAATCACAAGCTCACAGCATCAAAAAACCAGATGTAAGATAATACTCCAAGCAGCGAATAAATCATAATGAATCATAAGCAAGAGGTGTAACACGTGAAAATAAATCATAGATAAAAAAATCGTAGATGAAGCTCACGGCATCGGATAAGATTCCCTACATCACATGAAATATACAAACAAAACTAATAGCACGAGAAAACTTATATCCTTTCGTACGATTTTCATAAGTTAATTTGAATTAAAATTTCAAATCATAACGCAATGAAAATAATATTTACATAACCTGAATTTATTTATAAATAAATAAAATATACAGTCAAAAATGTTATGTACAATTATATATTTACAGTACCAAATATTAAATCGGAATAGTAAAATAAAGAATACAATAGAAAGGGAATGATGAAGAAATTATGGATGCGCTATGCGAGAATGAATACTTGAAATGATTCTCGGAAACCTTCACACTAAACAAACTCGTTAGTAGCATAAGCAGTATTAAAATGAAATGAATAAAAAATCTATGTTAGTAATCACAAAAAATGAACTTGTATGATGCATATGAGCAAATGAATATTTACACAAATCAAAATCAAGAACTCATGAGATTATTCAATGCAATCCATGAAAAATCAAGCTTAAATCAAGCATTATCAAAAATTGGACAGCAACAAATTATGCATAAAAAGCTCATGAAAATCAATTTCCAAGTGATTCCAAACTTATGTACAAACACCAATATTATACCAACAAACTTTTGAATTGAATTCAACTTGAAACTTAATCAAAAAACTTTAAAAATGACTCAAATAACAAGACAACGTAAAAACCGACAATTCAAGATTAATCAACTCATGTCATTTCACATTGAGTTCAAAAGTGATTAAAAAATAAGTTTTGAGTGCAAGCACTACGCCAAATAAGCTATTTAATAGCGCTTTTTTTTTGTTTTTGATAGCGCTTAAAAGTGCTATTAACCGCGCCACTATTGTAAATATTTCTTATTTAATAGCACTTTAAAAGCGCTATTAAAGTACCAATTTATAATAGCGTTTTAATTAAAGTGCTATCAAAGTCAGTATTTTGCATGTTTTTTGTTTGTTTTTTTATAGCACTCTAAACAAAAAGCGCTAATATATAACATATGTTTGATAGCGCTTTCAAATAAAGTGCTAATAAATGGTACATATTTGGTACAATATTTTTAATAAGTACAGTACAATATTTTTTCTTACACAATCATTTTTTTTGGTGTAAATATAAAATAACTATATTCAATTCAACACAAATAACGCTTTAAGTTACTCATTGCATATATATTATGATCCATCAAATACCAAATAACATTTTAAATTACCAAATCCTATTGTTTCCAAATATCATAACATATAGAATATTAAGAGGGCGTTTGCATAGCCAAATTTGTAGATGCCCATCTATGAGTACTTCAATCCAAATCCAAAAACATACAATCAAATTCTCTAAACAAAACACCAAAAAAATAAGAAAGGATAACAAAACAATCCCATGTAGTAACCACCTTCATGATCCAAAAGCGTTGAACTCATAGATACAATCACTAATTAGGCAAAATAATTGCTTCTTGTTTTCCTGTATCATAGAAGGAATATTGATTAATATCGGACAACCGTTGTAGTTTTCAATATAGTCACATGGAGGATTAAGGAAATTTTGAACAAGATGTAAGGGTATGTAGCTTGCCTATTGAATTGTCAGTTTTGTGCCAAAACTTATATGTATGAGGGAAGATTGCTGTGTGTGGCTGAAATGATTACAAAAAACATTCAGAAATTGAGTTAGACTAGAAATAAATACAGTAGCAACATCCCATTCTAATGTGTTAACATAAAATACTTGACTTACGGGATTAAGCAATGCCTTATAGGGAGAATCATCAACAAGCAGAGTGTTTTTAGCATTAAAACTTCTAAACTGATCCCAAACTTCAAATCCTTAAACACCATTTTTTTATTTGGTCGAGTAGGTACATGAAAAGTACTTTTTGTACAGTACAAACGATCCTGCAAAAGTAATCCTTTGAATGAATGTCTTATCAAAAAAGAATTCTTAGGATGTGCAACATTAATCATATCCTATTTCCAACACTCCTAATTATGTTTCCAACAAGACTAAATCCAATGCTCCTCCTCCAGCTGAAGCAACTGAATGCTCTAGGCTTGGAACAGATAAATTGAATTCTTGGAAACACCAAGACCAGATCTGGATCCAGGAGGAAAAACCGATTCAGCGGGTGGAAGCACCGCCAGAGAGGAGCCGCCACGCGCGGCTGAGAGACACAATGGAAGAGTGTGTACTAAAGTTCAAGCTAGGAATAATCAAATATAAGAGTGTGTGTGCTCACCCAAAAGAAAAGTAACTCTTTTTGCCTATCTTTAAATAAAAAATCAACCAACTTCTTAACATTGATCCTACAAAACAGAAATTATGGATATAAGTTTCTACAATGCAGATAAATGACAAAAGGTAAATGCAAATAAAGAATAGTGGAAAGAGCCAACCAAGAGAAAAAATGGGGACAGACCCAACATTATAATTTAATAAAATGAAAATTAGAGATGAATAAAGTACCTTTCTTTTGAAGACCAAATAGCCACTACAAAGTTTTCAAAACAGAATTCCAAAAACTCATGACAATTCTTTCTCATGTACACTAACTGTTTATTTTGTTCATTTTTGTCATTTACCAATATCCTGTCTGGTTTTGGAGAAAACTCAGGTGTTCCATCAGATGTACAGACAAATTCTACGTCTGCAAGCACCCCATTTATATCAAAAATTAAAAGTTTCTTCTTCGACTGCACATACAAGAATCGTGGTTAAGCATACTATCAACTTTATTTATAAAATAAATAAAAAATGAGAGGAAAAACTTGAAGCAAACAAAATCTCACAGTTCCCAAACAAGAGTCTCGTCCAAATCCTGGAATCCAACATTCACCCACCCCCACTGACATTTTGGTTATAAAAAAAATCTAAATCAAAATAGAAACGTTTAATGACAGAACCATGTAAAGTACATGAAAAAGCTAAGCTACATTAACACTAGATATTACAATAGAAAAATAGAAATTTCAAAACCAACAACAAACCTTTGTCTTTTACAATTTGTTTTCATGATTTTTCATGCACTGGAGGGAACAAATATCTGACTACCTATATAGTAAAAAAAATGTATATGTTTAGTGGGAATGTAAACTTTACGTTCAGATTTCTGACTTGATGAGGACAACCAGCTGGAATGAAAACAGCATCTCCTAGCTTCTGAGTGAAGGTCCAGGGCTCAATTCCTACAAGTCAATGTCAAACTATCAACAAAATTGGTACAATTTGACTAACCAAACAAGTCCAGCCCCCAAACAATATAGGAAAATCTGTATAATATTACTAACCACACTCCTGCTTAAGCTTCTTCTTATGCTCCATAGTCAGATAAAATGTCTGATCATGGATGGGGTGAGTAACCTACATAATCAATGAATATTTCATTCAAGATGCATCCCAATAAAACTGACTGGTAACAAGGGCATCCAGATAGAAAATGCAAAATAGTGGTAACTGATTTACCTTCGTTAAAGGATGGCAGTCAAAATGACTAAACTCTCCGAAATGCTTGTATAAATATCCCTCCAATATAGGTACATCCTTTCTTCGAAAAATATCCCAGAGAGCACCATCCAAAGAATCCATTGCATCCAACAAACTATCTCCTTGCTCCACTGTACCTTTTTCAACTTCTTTGAGCTTAGACCCAGATGTGCCATCATCATTAGCCTCCCCATCCTGATGAATATCATGTAATTCCCTCTTGTCTTGCTCAAGGTTCTTTGGCATCAATTTCTCAATGGCAGTAACATTCTCAGAACCCAATTTCACTTTAGCAACATGAGTCAACACGTTTACCTTAAAATGCCAGATTCCAACAAAAAAAATCAGAATACATCATTTGATTAAAAAATAACAATTTTTTCACAATAATTGCAAATAAATTCTGCAACAAAAAAAAAGGCCATGAAAGACAACAAGAATTGAAGCATACTGCATCAGACATGTCACAATGGAGCTTTGTCACAGAATCACCGCGCCCAAGCTCCTTAGCAACTCCATAAGCAATGTATGCTTTTGGCCCCATGTCTGGCTTCAGACAACCATCAGGCAACTTCACGGCAAGGTTAAGAGAACCACTTACAGGATGTGTGTATTCTTTATACGGCAAGTAAGATACGAAGTTCTTAAAATGAATAGGTAAACATTCCTTAAATGATTCAGAAGGAGGCCAATCTTTCAACTTCAACATGTGAGGCCGGTGTTTCCTCCTTCTGTTTGAGTGTCGTTTGAGAAGTGAATCTGAATCTGAACCGAAGGGAATCCGATCAGCATTCTTGAACTTGTTGACATATTCTTCCATGTTTACACTTCCCTCCTCGTGGTAAATTTCACTAGGGATAGGAGATCCAATGTAAGTGGTCCATCCAGACTCAGTGCCACTGAATTCTCCTTCTGATGCTAAATCTTGAGAAGGCTCCATAGGGAAGCTTTTTGCACAGGATAACAAAAGAAACAAAAAGGGAAATGAATTTGCAACAAATTTGGAACTTGGGTTTGTTCTTATAGCCTTATTCACTTGTTCCAAAGGGTAACACTGAGTTTAATAGACAGGACAAAACAACCAATCTCCACAGTGCACCTTCATTATTTATTTGACAGTGTACCTTTTTATTTACTTGCCAATTCTACCACCATAACTCCCACTCCTATCACTACAAGACAAGAATATTATTGTGAATTCAATATAGTAAGGAAATATTAGCCTATATTTTGTTGCAAATCCCATGAGTATCAGAAATATTTTTATAAGTTTTATACAAAGGAAAAATGAATACATGATATTATATTCAATAATCTGTCAAAGAGGATAGCTCTTGTTAGAAAAGTTATTATATATAACACAGATATTTCTACTGTAATACTAGTCTATATAAGATGCGCGAATGAGTAGTGTTAGCAAAAAGCAATAAAATTAACACAAAATAGAAGTAATCAGTGCACTAATACTAGTTAATAATCCTAGATCACAAAAACAATGAAGTCGATGAACAAAAGAAAAAGGGTTCAAAATTTCAAACCAAGTACAAGAAGCCCTTATATCAGTGATGCACAAGGGAAAGGCTGCATATGAGCACAATAGCATAGACAGCACAATCTATGAAGACAGCATCAGCCACAGTCTTCAGCACCATTCCAATTTCCAATGTTTTTGCAAGCTGTGCATATTGATCAGAAGAATCAGCGCTGGCGCTGGCACTGGCGTTGTTCCGTCTCCTCCTCAACCTTTCATCAGAGCCTCTTTGTTTCCCAGAAATAATTTTCGCAACAACAAAAGACGAATTTGTGAGGAGAACCAAGTAAAGTGGTCTAAAGCTTATAATAGTCTTAATCAAAGAGAATCCTAGACAAGAGGCAACAACCAATAAGGCAACTATAATCGAACAACAAAGACGCGTAAACCTTGAGGCATCAACGGCATTCGTCACATCCCTAAGGCTTATGAAATCGAAACTTCTAGGTTCTTCGAGCTGGGAAATTTCATCAGATGAATCTTGATGTGTTGTTGGTGGTTGAGGTTGAAATAGAGGTTGTGATTCTTGTACATGTTCAGGTTCAATTTCAGAATTGGGGAAACTTAAAATCTCACTTTCACTGTGTTGTTTTTCAGGCAAAATTTCGGCATCAACGTGATTCTGCAAAACGGAATTCGGATACTCATGCTCCTCGTCGTTGGCGTGAGGCAGATATGAAGAAAAACAGTTGTAAAATCAAAATTGAATTCTAGGGTTTGTAGATGGATGATTACAGAAGCAATAAGAAGAGAGAAAATTGAAATGAAAGAGAAGAGAAGAGGTAGTTACCGGGAGGAGGGAGGGTTTGGATCCGACCCTGGATGAAGGCAAGACGGTCGGATCCTTGTTGGAGGATTCTTCTTCTTCTCCGGGCGTCTCTCAGGTTGTTTGCTTCTGTCATTTTTTTTCCCTTCCTCTTTACTTCAGCTCAGGCTTTGTATTGCCAACTGACTCAAATCCTTGAAATTTTTGTTTCTTTATGGTTTTGAGTTAACTCAATGCTGCTGCTAAAGAAATGTTAACTTTGATCTTAGTTCATTCATTTTTTATATAAATATAGTTTAAGGTTTTTTTAATATTATATATATAACATAGCGCTTTTTAATAAATGCTATTATATAGGTAGTCAAATAATAGCGTTTTATACAAAATGCTATCTTAAAGAAGTTTAATAATAGCGTTCTGGTACAAAGTGCTATCAAAATTACATAGTCTGTATTATATAATAGCGCCCGATTAAAAAGTGCTATTATAAATGTGTTTTTTCCATTTTAATAGCATTTTTTTTAAAAGTGCTATTAAATTAGGTGATACAAAAAATCATTTTTGGCGTAGTGAAGTTTCAACAAGGATAAATCTAGACAGCATAACAGTAACAAATTCTTCATCACAATCTTTACAAGAACAAACCAGAATTTTCATACAATATGTATTACGAAAACAAACTTTGCAATCTCATTAGAACTGTATCAAACACGAAAAAAACATTGTAACACTACCCAATCTATTTTCCAGAATTATACGCTATGAATTTCAACGGACAGCATAATGTTCACAATGCAATCAGGCCATTTTCAACTAGATTTTGTCATAATCATTTTACAGCAAAATGCTTACTAATTAAAATCAAAACCAAAACACTAGCACATGAAGCAATCCAATAATTAATCAGAATCAAAACAACACAGTTTAAACAATCAAGAGGAATAGAAAAATTACCGAACAACCAAAACTGGATATTGATTTGAGGAAGATTAGAAGCAAATTGCGTGTTGAGCAGAAGTGCAGATGGCTTGCTGATGTTGTGTCGCAAAATCTAGACGGGGGAAGTATCGAGATGGGAGATGGGTGTACACAGAGTGGGAGCACGAGTTGCAAAAGGGACTGGTCATAAGAATTTACGGTGATGAGTTAATGAGGTTAGGTGATGCGGATGAACAGAGATTCGGCGGATGCCGGCAGATTGGGCCACGGCGAGTGAAGGTTTGTGGAATTATTGGTTATTTGAAACAGAGGCGGAGGAATAGAAGGTTGAAGATTGCTAGCGGAATTGAATAGAGGTATCGTGCGTCGGTAGCAGATGAAGAAGGTTGTTGGTTGGGTTGAAGGTTGGTTGTTGCGAAATGTACAGAGGTGAAGTTGTGTTCGGATTTTGTGAGAAAAATGAGGGGTTATTTGGCGGAGGGGTTTACTTCTAGTTGCCGTGTTGAAGATGAAAGGGGAGTAATAGGGCGGAAGGTTGAGAGGGAGTTGTAGCTAGAAGAATTTGATGAGGATGGCGAGATGGAGACAAGAATTGAGGAAAGGATTATTGTTAGTGTTATTTGTTGTCCTTACAAAGAAAATAAAGGGGCTTTATATAAAAATATCAAAGAGGAAAAATGATTTCATATTGCAATCAGATCCGTTAATTAATTTCTCCAATTTTGTAAATCCGCAAATTCTGTCAACAACCAATGAGAGCATAATACAGTGTAATAAACATTTTTTATGACAAAAACGCCCTTTAATGACAAAAATGAAATAAAAACCTGAAAGTAAAAAATAACTCAAATTAAAATAATTTTTTGAATTTTTTCTGAATAAAAAATTAAAGACTCAAAATGATCGAAAATGATAAAAAAAACGGACAAAAATTTATCCGAAAAAATGAAATGAACACATTAAAATAAACTACATGTCACAAAGATTAAAAAAAATATTCAAAAAGTCAAAAATAGAAATAAAATGAGAATAAAAATATCAGGCTGAACAGACGTTTACGGTTAAAAACGAGACTTCGAACCGTACCGAAAAAATAAAGCGAGCATACCGTCATAATCTATGCGAAACGCAGATTTATAAAATGATTGGTAAAAGGTGAAAACTTGAAATATTTTTCTCGCTAATTTTCCGCACAGTGTCGAATTGCTCTTAACAATCTGTCTGTAAAACTGAAATATTTTTATTATCGACATATAAACAACTTGGAGCAATACAAGAAAAGAGTAAAGAGATAAAAATGCATGAAGTGAAATGTCGGGTATTCTTCAACTACAAAATGATGCAAATGTCGATTTAAACTGACTTTTGGCCAACTTAAACACGATTAAATGATGCAAATGTGATGAACGGAGCTATTTATTAATGATTGTGATCAAATAATAAAATATGATATGAAAGTCCGACTAAAAAAATTTAGGGGTGAAATTTAAGGTGCAGCCGCTGAAATCATTTTGAGAAACCTTCTAAAGCAAAGTTGTTCCTCACATCATTAGCTCTTGACTTGTAAAGAGAAGTTGGAGATGACGTCAAGGAGATTCATATTCTCGAAGAATCTCTCAAAAAATTGATCAATAAGGATGTTATGATCATTCGAACTCAAACTGGCAAACGTTGACTTTTGGTCTGACAACTTCAAATCCACTCGCGAACTTGATCTTTTTCACAGCCCAAGACACTATTAATAACATATGAACTTGAGACATCGAAGAAGGCATGGAAATAAACACACGAACATATCTCGAAGAACCTTGAGAATTAAGAAACCAGACTCGTCTTAACTATGCTGAACGAAACTTGAGGATAACACGACCTAAAATTATAGATCACCGCTCTGAGCCATAGGATTTTGGGAACTCTTTTTGGCTTGAACAAACCATAACCCTAACCAGAGAGTCATCGCCTGAACTTCTTGGTCGCAAAACCTGTCTTTCAAGATACAAAGCAGACAAAACATATTTTTGAATTTTGGTCAGAAGTCAGTAAAATATAAAAAACATATATACGAGGCACGCGATTCAAAGTGCTTGGTGATCTCTCAGAAGCAAAGCTAAAGATAAGGAGAAGAACCAAACCCTAGTATGATCTTGTAATGATTGAGTTGATATGATATGATTGAGGAATCTTAGGGGCAAAAATTGGGATACAACAGCTGCCCTTATTTAAGTGTCTTCCATCCGGAGATGTGAAGATTAAAAATCTTCGTGTCGACGCGATTGAAGATACTTAAATATAAAACAAGCCCTATTTTTTGCCCTAAGATACCATGCAATGCTTATGAATGTGAATGTAGATGAACAAATTCAAAAGGACACATGACACCACTAGGGACGTAGGAAATAAAAACAGGGACCAAAAGGAAGACCCGACCAGGAAAATAAACCACTGGTGAAAAAAAGACTCGACTCTATTGAGGTAAATCCCAAAGAGGAGATAAAGCATCATCAACTAAAATATTGAGGAAAAAGTAAAGGATGATAACGATCGACAGATAATTATGAACTACCAACTCAATAGATGAAGGTAGAAAAGAAAAAAAAACAGAATAGTACAGAATCAACAAGGGATAGTAAACTACTAACTCAATGGATGAAGGTAGAAAAGTAATAAGATACCGACTCACAGATGACGGTAGACTACCAACTCAATGGTTTAAGGTAGAAAAGTAAGAGATACCGACTCACAAATGACGGTAAACTACCAACTCAATAGTTGAAGGTAGACGAACAAATATGCACCAACTTTTATTGAAGGTGAACTACCAACTTCCACTGAAGGTAGAGATAAAAGAATAACACCAATGTTTACTGAAGGTGAAACTACCAACTTTCACTGAAGGTAGAGAGAAAAGATGACACCAACGTTTATTGAAGGTGAACTACCGACTACCACTGAAGGTAGAGATAAAATAATAACACCAACGTTTATTGAAGGTGAAACTACCAACTTTCACTGAAGGTAGAGAGAAAAGATGAAACCAGCGTTTACTGAAGGTGAACTACCAACTTCCACTGAAGGTAGAGATAAAATAATAACACCAACGTTTACTGAAGGTGAAACTACCAACTTTTACTGAAGGTAGAGAGAAAAGATGACACCAACGTTTACTGAAGGTGAACTACCAACTTCCACTGAAGGTAGAGATAAAAGAATAACACCAACGTTTACTAAAGGTGAAACTACCAACTTTCACTGAAGGTAGAGAGAAAAGATGACACCAACGTTTACTGAAGGTGAACTACCAACTTCCACTGAAGGTAGAGATAAAAGAATAACACCAATGTTTACTGAAGGTGAAACTACCAACTTTCACTGAAGGTAGAGAGAAAAGATGACACCAACGTTTATTGAAGGTGAACTACCGACTACCACTGAAGGTAGAGATAAAATAATAACACCAACGTTTATTGAAGGTGAAACTACCAACTTTCACTGAAGGTAGAGAGAAAAGATGAAACCAGCGTTTACTGAAGGTGAACTACCAACTTCCACTGAAGGTAGAGATAAAATAATAACACGAACGTTTACTGAAGGTGAAACTACCAACTTTTACTGAAGGTAGAGAGAAAAGATGACACCAACGTTTACTGAAGGTGAACTACCAACTTCCACTGAAGGTAGAGATAAAAGAATAACACCAACGTTTACTAAAGGTGAAACTACCAACTTTCACTGAAGGTAGAGAGAAAAGATGACACCAACGTTTACTGAAGGTGAACTACCAACTTCCACTGAAGGTAGAGATAAAAGAATAACACCAACATTTACTAAAGGTGAAACTACCAACTTTCACTGAAGGTCGAGAGAAAATATGACACCAACGTTTACTGAAGGTGAACTACCAACTTCCACTGAAGGTAGAGATAAAAGAATAAAACTAACATTTATTGAAGGTGAAACTACTGACTTTCAGTGAAGGTAAAGAGAAAAGATGACACCAACGTTTACTGAAGGTGAACTACCAACTTCCACTAAAGGTAGAGATAAAAGAATAACACCAACATTTACTGAAGGTGAAACTACCAACTTTCACTGAAGGTAGAGAGAAAAGATGACACCAACGTTTACTGGAGGTGAACTACCAACTTCCACTAAAGGTAGAGATAAAAGAATAACACCAATGTTTACTGAAGGTGAAAC